TCCTGTGTAATTTCAAGTATGTTTGAAATGCTATTTTTAAAAGTGAAAAGAATTAAAGCAAATTTTCAGAAAAATATCAGTGAGATTAAGCCACAAAAATGAGTCAAATTTTCATTTATATACTTCAATTTTAGAAGGTGATGAGGTAAATAAAAACCTAGACATAAACTGTGAACTCTTATCACAGGATAAGATGCATAAGGTTATATTATATACATAATTATAATATAGTATGTAATTATACATTATAATTATATATTAATATATTATATATATAAATGGGAAAGAAATATAAAAAAAATTAACATGGACTTTTTAACTTGGGTGCATCTGGATTGAGATTTCCTTTCTAAAAATGTCTCCTTTCAATTTAATGTAATGAACTTTTAAAAATTTGTTAAAATAAATTACATATTTCCTGAAAAATTTGTGGATCTTTCCAGTAGAAATAATAGAGCAACAGAGATTTAAGCAAATAGTATTCTAACAACGGATAGTAGAAAGTAGTGAATTCCTTTTAGGTTTTCCTCTGAGTGCACGTATTTTCATTAAATAAATGATCAGGTTAAGTAAAACAGGTGTACAGCAGCACGTCTTGGGTCAAATCACTATTGCCACCCAATTTTCAGGGGCAATTGCAGTCAAGAAGTCTGCTGGGTGAGCACTGCTATCGCTTTAATTAAGGTGGGGCTTTACAACTCAATTGTTCCATTCGTGTCTCAAATCAATCAGATGAAATTCACCTTTTACATGTCCTGAATCCTGATAGCTCCGCACACTCGATAGGTAATTCAATCATCTCGGGTGTAGATGAACGCAAACTCAAATTAGCTACTGAAAGAGCTGGTCTTTGAGATAGCTGTGCTTTTCCACTTTTATGCAAGAGCTGAGCTTCACCAACTGGCTAGCTGGAGGTGTTATTAAAAATTTAGTGAAAGAAACAAAGGTGTGCTCTGGTGTCTCTTGTTACCCTTTCTACTGTTACTCCAGCAGACAAAAGGCATAGAGCCTGCCTCATGAATAATGTGACACGGAATATTCACAATCTATTTTTAATGGAGTCAAGTAATAACATTAAGCGAGATATTTGCAATCTTCAAATTTCACACTGTAACAGGCACAGTAATTTGTTTTGATTCTGCACTGAGGATCTCTAGATATATTTCTTCCCTAAAAAAAGACATACTGTTGACATTAAAATTGCAATTCTGCATTGACAGTATCAACAAGGATTATGAAAATGGACTAACAGTTCTACATTTTTAAGGGGAAAGAAAGGCAGGGCAGACACTTAGATTTCAATCAGTTCCACTTACCCTACAACACAGAAAAAAACTTCTTTCAAATCAATGTAGAAATAAAAAGTCAACCAGCATATACTCTGACTTCTGTGAGGAGGAAGTTTTTCATCTTTATTCACTGACAGGGGCTCTCAAAGCCTGGGAAACAGTCCTGGATGGTGCAATGGTTCATCACTATCAGTTCCGGAAAACTGTCTCCAACTGCTTTGCAAAGTAAACAAATTTAAATTTTGAATACAAAGAAACTGACATGGAAAGATAGGATGCTGAAAACCAAATGAAGACAGACAAGGCCTGAGATTTGGAGGGACTGAAGAAACAGCATCTGAGCCCACTTCCTCACCAAGGCAAAGAGAAGAAGTCGTATGTGGTCAATTAATTTCCCAGGTGCTCAAGCAATTTCTCTTCATTTGGTTGCTGCAGAGAGCAGCAGCAGCCCACAGAATGAAGCCATTTTTATTCTCTGCTTATTTACTCTTTTACAAAAACAAGTATTTATTCTGACAACTGAGGATTCAGCAGTGACCAAATAGAGTTCCATATGGCTTTGCACTCTTTACTGTAATCCCAGTCCAGGAGGAGTGTGAGGTAAAGCACTGTGCACTCAGTCAAGATTTGTGACATTGATTTGAGCAGAGATGCACCACTGGAATGGGCCTGTACAATGGGCCATGTATACCTAGAATATGTGACTGAGTGATGGTAAAACACAGGGAGTCAGGATTCCTCTTAGGAACTTACTCGGATTTATTTTTCTTAAAAGTCAGGCTGATTTCAACAAGAAATCCCCACAGGTGTTATAGCTAGAAAGAATGTAAACCCTCGTTTTTCCTCTCCTGTTTTTAGATCCCTGAGTTACGCAAATCATTTGCACTTGACTGCTGCTGTGTATCTTTGGGCCGGAACCAATTCATAGCTGACTTTCCAGCAGGTTTTCTGAAGCAGTAATTTGCACAGGAGGAGACCGTCCATCTTTCTCTCACAGAGCAGCTAGTGGATTCAAACTGGTGCCTTTGAGTTGGCAGTGCAGCTCCTTCCCCCTAAACCACCAGAGTGTGCTTGACTCTAACCTGAAGTTTTATGATCCAAATCTACTCAGGGTCAGTGAAAGAAAGGACTAGAAATCCATGTTACAACCAAGAAAATCATCATTTCAAGTTCTCCTCTGTATGGGCTCACCTTGAGTTGAAACTGACTCCAGGGCAGTGGGTATAGTTTTAATTTTTATATCATTAGGATTGGCAAACTCCTCCTGTGCAATTCACTGCCTCTGAAAACCCGCCGGAGGGTCAGCTATGAGTCAGTTGCGACTCTACAGTAAACAACAACAACAACATCATTAGACTAATAACTTGCTTTTGGTAAGGCAGCTAACCAATCTGGTTATTTTATCTTCTAAAGCAGTCAAGGTTGCATGGAATGTTAGAACCAATATCCATATTTTGCATACAAAGAATCTGTCCAAATCACAGTGTGTGGATGAGAGCCCTGACTAAAATCCTAATTTCCAGACTTAAGACCCGTGGTTTCCTTATTCATCAGGAAACCTGTAAAAACCCTTGAAGTCCTCAGAAGAAAATGCCTATATACACATGAGATCATCAATGACTGCAAGAAGCTTAAGTTTGTCTACCTCCTAGCTTTTACCAAAATAGTCTACCAGACACAAGGAAAAAAGTAGATGAAAATCTAAGACATTGGATATTAGTCTTCCCTGGACACTAACTCTGGTGACACAATCTGTAGGGAACTGCACTGCTAACCTAATAGTGGTGCCTCACTGCTGCTTTAAATCCATCAGCAGCTCTACATGAGAGACAGGTCATTTACAGCCTCAGAAAATAGAGGCTTGGGTATGTGTTGGCTCCACCTTGATGGTAAGGAATGAGAAAGAGACACTAACTTGTCTGCTTCACATTTATATTTCACAAATTGGAAAGGGAAAGGAAGATCTTAAACCAGATAGACTGACACAGTGAATGCAGCAAGGGGCTCATTGTGCCAGAGATTATGAGGATGGCACAAGATAGTGCAGGGTTCAGATCTATTGCTTATAAAGTCACTATGAGTCATATTCAACTTGGTACCTAACAACAATTGTTTCTAGAGAGCTCTCATGGCTTAGCGGTTAGGAGTCGCACTGCCGAAAGGTTGGATCTACCAGGTGCTCCAGTGGAGAAGGATGGGAGATCTTCTATGTGATTTATTGCCTCTGAAAACTTATTGGAGGGGCAACTATGAGTTGGTTTTGAGTCAACAGCACATAAAACATAATTTCTTTCAAGTAATTCTGGTAGCACAGTGGCTAACTGTCCAACTGCTAATTGAAAGATTGTCTGTTCAAAGTCACCAGCTGCTCTTTAAGGATTACAGCTTTAGAAACCCAATGGGTCAGCTTTATTGTGTTACAGGGGGTCACTATGAGGAACAGTATAGTTTCCTTCACTGCCAGCTACCTTTCCCCCTACCCTTCACTAAAACAAGAGTTTTCCCCCAGTTCTCTACCTAAATGAGAGACAATCTGTAAGAGTCTTAATATTTTATTAACTTAAAACATCACTCTAATAAATATGTATTAACAAACATAATGCACTCAAAATATCTAAAAACCTTTACAAACTTCCTCAAGGTAAAAACACTTCTTTTTCTCTGTGGTACACGTGAAAAATCAAAGAGCTGGAGAGGGAACCTTCATTCCCAGCCAACTGCAAACTCAGACATCTTAAAATACCAGTTTAACAATTGAGAAAAGAATACTGAGAATACACATGAATCTTTGAAGTAAACTCTCAGCTATTTTTCCATCTTTGTTGGGAAAATCCAAAGGATAAGAGGAAAGGTTCAAGATTATGTGTTGTCTTCTCAGTATTCCCCTGGAGGGCAAGAACACACACTGCCATGTGGAGCTGGGGCGGTTGGTTTCTGAAGGGCATGGCCTTTACTTTAATCTCTGACTCTTCAGCACCAAGCAGAGGGTCTGGTGCTACCCTAACTGGTGGTCAATAAACATTAGTTGAACGAATGGTTTCTCCAGATGCAGGCCACTTAAGAGTTCAGACCTCTAGTCTTCTCTCATCAACAAGTCCATTTCTCCTCCTTCTTGGGCCCAAAGGTGATTATGTAATTTGAAAAATATCAAACTCCTTTCCCAAATCAGTTTCTGAACCAGTCTTCAAGCAAGAAAAAAGATTCCTCCAAGACATACAAGGATTTCCCCAATAAGACAGGCTAACAGACTCCCCAGAACGAAACAAGAAATTAAAATAAAATCATCCACTCTTTCTAGATTAAAAAATTTGCACGTGTCCACCTTTGGTGATTCCTTCTCTTCCACAGAAGGATTCAGGTCTTTCCTGGAGGAGGAAACAAACCTGACAGACTCTCCTGTCTGAGGAGCAGGACTGGGAATTCGGAGGAGTGTGGGCCCAAGATTTTGTCTGATTCCACCTGCCTCTGAGTCTGCAGGGTTAGAGAGGCCTGCTCAGTGTTGCTAAAGCCCAGAGAGTCTTTTGGTTCCTGGCCCAGGCTGAATCTTGAAAAGGTTCCTCGTTCACTCTCCAGAAAGTAAGGCGAAGGGCGAGCCCCCTGGTGGCACCTGCAGAATGGACTCAGGGCCTGAGAAGTCAGAAGTGGCAGTGGCAAGGGGGAGGCTGCCCTCCTTAGTGTTGTGAAACTGCTGCTTACGGGCTGCCAGGGTGCTCATTTGAGCCCATGCTGTGTCTCCCGGTGCCGCCTGAGGTCCACCTTCCTCTGGAAGCCCTTCCCACACAGGTCACAGCCAAAAGGCTTAAAGCCTGTGTGCTTGCGGCTGTGGGTGATGAGGTTGGAGCTCTGGCTGAAGGCCTTGCCACACACCTGGCACTTGTGGGGCTTCTCACCTGTGGTGACAGAAGGGGGAGGACAGGAAGTATGAGTCTATGGTAAAGCTAGAGGGGACCCATGGTGACCCACATGCTGTTGGCAGCAGCTGGCTGCATCACAGCCTGAGGCCTTCAAGTGCCTTGGGGGGTATTGTGCAGGAGCATGAACTGACTCCCAGCCTGCCAGGGGAACCATGAGTGCAACAGGTGAGAACGAGCCTTTCTGAGTGGCGGTTCCCAACCAAAGGCCTCAAACTGTTTCCTGCTTAACGGAAACAGGGCAAATGCCACGTGCCCTCCTAGACTAGCAGCTGAATCCACCCGGGGAGGAGTCCTCAGCTTTTAGAAGCTGATATCTCCCAGAGCAGATGTGCAGCTAGAAGGGGGCAGGGGCCTTTGTCCTACAAACCGTATGACTCTGTTCTCTATTAATTCAGAGGAAGTTTTCAAATCTGAGTTTCCAAGTGGGTACTGACTTCTATGTACCAGGGAGCTTGTTTTCTTTCTTGCCCTTGAAAGTCACTTGAAAGTATCTGAACCCCAAAATAAACCAAACTGATTTCAATTCAGAATAGCCTCACAGCGCAGAGAACTGCTTACAGGTTTCCAGGAGCCGTAAATCTTTAAGGAGGCCAACTGCCTCATCTTTCTCCCAAGGAGTGGCAGACAAGTTTGAATCACTAACTTTTAGGTAAACAGCTAACTGCCTTAACTGCAGGGCCTCTAGAACTCCTGGATGTCTCTGGATCTTTTTTTTTTTTTTTAAATCCACATTTTGGCCACAAACAATTTTAGATAGTTTATCCTTTTCTGTCTTATTTTTATTTTATTTAAGAGAAATTGGTGACAGGATTCTTTTTATACCAGCAACTCTTCATCACAGATTAGTAAATAATAGACAAAACACACAAAGGTTTTAGATTTCCCTATGACTTCTGTGCTGTTTGACGTGTAAGTAAAAAGTACTGTTCTTTAAATAGCTACAACCCAGCACTGCAGTCAAGATTCAACCTTGGAAAAAAATGCAAAATAGATGAAGTGTGTTTTTGGGAACCCTATGTCTCCTTTGCTATACTCATTCTGCCTTCATGTTTCAGATTTCCTTGATAAGGAATCACCCATCAAAACTTATACTATCCTTTTAGGGTCAAACAAATCTGAGAAACCAATTCTAGCTATAATGTAAATGTTTGATAAGGGCTTAATGTTTCATGCAGTTAAGATCCTGGTTGCATTCCGATAAGCGTCTTGACTATCTTTACTCACAAGGAGTGAGTTTCATTGAAATTGAGGTAAGGGGTATGATTAGAGGAGGCTATTTTTCTGGATTTTCCAATGGGCATCATCTAAACAGTCTGAGAATATAAACATCAATAGTGGATGTTGGAACACATTAGGATCTGGTTTAAATCTGTATTCATATTAATATAGTCAGAAATTCTAAGTCTTGTTAATGAATGTCTTGTGAACTATTAGAGGGTGCTCCATATATAAAAAAAACCCCTGACCCACTGCAAAAAGTACTAGGGAAAGAGTTCAGAACTCTTCCAGTCCTGGCTTCAGTCTTTGGTAAATCATTCAGTCTCTCTGAGTTTCAAGGTCGTTAGCTGTTACCAAACAATTTATTGGCATCATCAAGTCAGAACCGACTCATAGCTGACCCTCCAGAGAATTTTCAGAGTCTGTAAATAGTAAAGAAATTTACTGTTCATCTTTCTTGCACTGAGCAGCTGGTGGATTGGAACCACCTGCCTTTGGGCTTGCAGTGCAACTCCTTAGCCACTAGGCCTCCAGAGCGCCCCAATTCATGGCTGCCCCATCACAAGGGCTTTATCAGAGGGGTTCATTGGCTTACTTTTAGAAGTAGATTGCCATGTTTTTCACAGTCTTAATTTGGAGGCTCTGCAGAAGCCTGTTTGTCATCATGGGCACATAAATAGTCTCCTTGCTGGCTATGCAGGAAGAATACTGATTTCTGTGTGGAAGGCAAAACTTCTACCCCCCATTTCCTTTCACTTTAGTATGTAGTATGGATGAAACTCCTCAGGAGAAAGATAGGCAATCTCCTCTTGAAAAGATTTTATAACCTCAGAAACTCAACGGAGGATCACTAAAAGTTTGGACAGTCTGCGGAATGAATGAGATGGTGGATTAGAAAACCCTCTGTAAATGATCAAGTATTATAACAAGCAAGGAATAATCACAGGCCATGAATGTGCTGATATTTTTAAATGGGCAATCAGCAAGTAAAAGCTTTCTTTAGCAACCAACTCCCATGACAATGGGAATAGAATATGTTAAACAGTGGTCAAGGGGTAGATATTTGAGATCAGACTGATACAAGTTTGAGCCCTGGCTCTGCCACTTGCTAGCTGTGTGACCCTCTGAGAGATTACTTAACCCTTTTGTGCTTGCTTGTCTCCGCTTTAAAATGGGGATGAGCTATAGTGTCTAGCTCCCAGAGTTGATATGAACATAAAATAAAAGCAAAACTGTTTTTGCCATTTTCCATCTCTTAAATCAGAATAGGCTCTCAAGAGTCCTAAAAACGTAGTCAGAATGACCACACATGAGCCATCATCTCCCAAAAGGGTGGGTGGAAGCCCAGAGAAAGCATTCAATCTCTAGTTAAACATTTAGGGTAACACGCTGAGAGGACCCTGGAGCTTTCTATCTCACCCAGAGCAGGCAGCAGTTGGAGAAGCTGCTACATTAGAGAAAAAGATGCTTTCTAAAAGAGAGTATCAGCAAGTAGGTCTGTTGAGTGACTCTGCAAACAAAGCCCCAAATTAAAGTCCCACTGAGAAAAAGGCCATCTGTAAATGAACCTATGGAAATCTGTTTCTGCCTTTTGTTGATTTGGGTGTGTTTTTTTTTTTCTTTAATACGTGACAATGATGAATTTAACTCCATTTGGAAAGCCTCATTTACCACTTAGGGAGCTCTGGCGGCCTTGTGGGTAAAGAGTTGTGCTGCCAACTCAAAGACAAGCAGTTCAAATGCACCAGCTGCCCAGCGACAGAAAGATGGAAAGTCTTCTGTTAGATTCATAGTCTCTGGAAACTGCTGGAGAGCCAGTTATGAGTCCTTTCAGCACATAACCACCTCATTACCCACTTACTGGGACTAAAGTCTCCCCTAACGTGAGGTATGCTGACCTCAGGAGAAAGTGCAATACCCAGCCTTCCCTTCCACTCCAAGATGTTCCCTACGGCTCACCAGTGTGAATGAAGGTGTGTTTCTTCATGTCTGACTTCTGGTGGAACCTCTTGCCGCAGTACTGACAGGGATAGGGCCTTGTGTCTGAGTGGATGAGCAGGTGCGTGGACAGGGTGGATGACCTCTTGAAGCTCTTGCCACAGATCTTGCAGTCAAAGCTCCTTTCCTGCAGGGAGTAGGTCACATCACTCCTGCTGCACCCTCACAACTGCCCTGACCCTGAAATCCAAAAACCAAGCCTCTCTCTTCTGTCAGGTTCTCTTCCACTCACTCCATCCTATTTTATCCTTTTACCATCCCTTATCATCTCCCCCTTTAATGCTGCTTTTCCTACAAAAATCCGTTTTACCCACAACCTCCACACCCCATAGTAAAAAACTGTATCTCGGCCCTGCTTTAGGCACCTCTTACACACACTACTCCACCCTCCTGACAGGGTAAGACCTCAGCCTGATGGTGGCAGAGATGGTGGATATTTTGTCCCCTAAGTGAGTCCTTCTAGGTAAGCCTTCTCCTTTCGTAGTTGTGTTTTTATGTGCTCAGCTCAGCTCACTGATCATTTCGGTGAGGGCAGGAACACAGGGGAATCCTCAAGACTCTGGCACCCAGAAGTTGAGCAAAAAATATTTACCAAGGAATGAATGAAAAGCGGAGCAAATACGCTCCTGGATGCTCCCAATGAGCCGAGATTCCTCCCTGTTAGTCGGGAGGAGTCCCTCCCTGCCTATTAAGTGGCAGCTGTTTGTTGAAAAGATAAAGAGGCAGAGCTAATACATCCTATCGCGCTGGTGGAGACATGCGCAACCCAAATCTGCCTTGAAGCCTACGGCCGGCCACCACCCACCTTTCTCTGCACACCTCCATGGGTGTTAGGGGGCTCGGGCAGGGGGGAGCAGCCTGAGGGTCGTAGCGCAGAAAGCTGCCAGCCAGAGAGCTGCCGCACGGGAAGAAGAGGCTGCGCAGAGCGGGCGGCTGAGCGCTGGGTTACCTGTGAGTGCACGGCCTTGTGCTGCTCCAGGCTCACCGCGTGCCCGAAGGTCTTGCCGCACAGCTCACAGGCAAAGGGTCTCGTGCCGCTGTGGGACCTGCGCACGTGCACCTCGAGCCCGTGAGGCGTGGAGAATACCTGCGGCGGGTGGGGCCGGGAGAAGGACGCTGAGAGGGGCGCGGGATGAGAGATGAGGGGCGCGGGGCGCAGGCAGCGGGCCGGGATGGGCGAGCGGAGCGCGAAAGCCTCACCTTGCTGCACTTGATGCACTTGTAGGAGCCGCCCCCCAGCAGCAGGCGAGTGCACAGCAGCTCCGACTCCACCTTGA